TCTCTCTCTCTCTCTCTCTCTCTCTCTCTCTCTCTCTCTCTCTCTCTCTCTCTCTCTCTCTGTGTGTGTGTGTGTGTGTGTGTGTGTGTGTCTTGGTCTTCTTCTTCGTCGTGGTCTTCTTGCAGGTGCGCGGCGGCTTCTTCAACCTCAGGTCCGCTATGGCGGACTATCTCCTTCGGCTGCCACCTCGACTATGGCGCATCAGGCCCTGCCTACGACGGCGCGCATGGAATAGCGGGTACCAGCTCCGATACCAATGCAATCAGACTCGTTCTCAAACACACTTTTCATGCATGTAAACAGCAACGCAGCATACTGGCGACATGCGGCCACTTAAAAACTCGGAGATATGGCTTTCAGATACGAGTTCACTCTCAATTAGCTATGGTGACTTCAGTGCCCAAACATTTCACTGTTCACATACACGGGATCACCCTGGATATCCCACATGCATCACTCTAACACTCGAACACACACACACACAGTCACTACTAAGTACGGCTATGGCAGCTATCGCTGCATCTAACCTATCGCTATACTAACTCCCTCTCTCTTGCCCACAGCGTCCTCCGGGCTCATCTGCAGACCTCCTTGCACAAGTCGCTGTGGCAGCGCTTCCACATGGCTCACGCAGGAATGAATGAATGGCTGGGCACTGCCTCTTGATTTATACTTCAGAAACTCGTTGGTCTGCCCTTTGCCATCGGCCCTTGGTGCTCACAGTCCCCCTGTTGTACTTGCTGGACCGGACTGGGACTGAATGGACCTTCCGCTGACTGACTGTGGACTCACCGCCATCCTACCGACTTTGTACTGCTGTTGCACTGCGGTTTAGTCCACCACTTGCCTTGCCACTTGACCACTTGCCCACTTGCCCACTTGCCTATCTTCTAGAAGGTCTACAACCAAGCTTCAAGGACTTACTAAGACTCCTACGCTACTTATATTCTCGGGGTCTACACAGATACTGTACATGGGTAGGGTGAGGTCTAGGGATCGAACCCTGGGTACTGCATCCGCTACTGCTAAAAGGTGAAAACCGTTTCACTCCCGCCGTCCTAAATTCGAGGTCCTCCGAGAAAATTTTAGTCCAAGGCGGGACCTTTACCTTTCTTGTCACGCTCATAGGCTCTGACTATGTCGGGAGCAGTCTCTAGAAGTTCTGCTTTCGTGAACCAGCGGTCGTCTTCCGGTTCCTGATAGGCAAACCGGACTTTATACTGTTTCTGGGGTCGACCTCTACCTCTTGTCCTAAACACATCCTCTTCTACGATGCCCTCTATGTCATAGCTCCCATCCATATCCGGTGGGATCATGGATCTCCTAGAAGGGAACTGTTGACTAGTGACACACGACAACAACTTTGAAGCATGGAACACAGGGTATGTGTGGGGGTGTGCTGGAATCTCAATGCTGTAGGACGGTCCATCCTCTCCGCCCTTGACTTCTAGAACCG